TCAAGCCGAGCTCGATATCATATCTTACACAAGCTGAATCTTGAGGTTTCAAGTTGTTTTCTCACCGCAACAGATATGTTGGGGAGAAAGAAGACCACTTTCACAATGTCAGCTAAGTAACATCTTCCACTACACAGAGATCTCTTGAGCTCCGGTGACAACATCGGCATGAAGTCCAAGCCCTGGAGAGTAAACTTGCATAATTTCCAACGAAAACAACCGGTTAATGAGCTCTGATATCATGGTTTCCCAGTCCAGATAGGCCACTGAGGTCAATTCGAAGAAGATCCTCACTTTCACTGTTAACCTCTCAGCCCTACTTATTCCTCTGAGCCTGTCCACCCGCTGTTATCCGATCTCTACGATCGTTGTGATGTAGCAGTGTCGACTGATCTCATCTCTTAGACGAGCCTGATACACTTCATTGAACGCCACTTGTCTGATCCTCCGCTCATGGTTTCTTGGAGACTGCATGTCACTTTCCATATCTCCGTTTATAAGAACATTAGATCGCTTTCCCCGAACTTCAATGTCTCGTACTTCAAGTTCTCAGCAATATCAAATACATGCACTCGGGCATACTAGTTAACTTACGCTGATCAATGGTGGAAGTTATAGCCAGAACATGGCATATATCTCAAGGGCGCCATATGGGTACCTAGGTAGGGTCGATTGAAGTTACATCTACACAGAAAACGCGGACATACCGTACTAGTATCCTCATATCTAGGCCCCGGATAGCCAATACCAATATTGTGGAGGGCGAGAGATGATCTCCCAGCAAGATAACGCGAAATATTGCTCGCCCAGTGCATTCAAAAGTGGGTTGAATCTTGAATTTGAAGATGAAGTACTTGTGTGGGCATTGAAATACCTCAGCCTTAATAGGCCATATACCCTTTGATAAGATCGGTATTGATGGCATTTCATTTCAAGATTATGCTGCACAAAAGGTGTTATCAAGATCATTACCGGCATCCACCATGTGTTACATCGTACAGTGTAACACAGCTGACAGTACTACCAAGGATCACTTTACGAACCTACTAGTACTGCTGATCAAGTGCAAGTATTCCGTGTCACATTAAGTGCGTCCCCGGGGCATTATAACAGTGTAGACAAAGGTGTATCACCGATCTATAAACAAGAATCCCATGCAAAGTGCCTAAGACCAAGCGCCGGACTGATGAAATGGAAGACAGGAAAGGCCCACAGCAAACCGCCAGAAAAACGGCCACTCTGACCCCAATGACCCCAATAAGGAAGCAACTACAATAAAAGGGGGAGACAAACAGTGCGTGTATGAAATGAGAGGGAAGCAAAAACGCCAAAAGTGTCACATCATCACCGCTTTCGCCATGAGAGCTCCAAAACTTGGTCGCCATCATTATCACGCAGAATGTACCACTGTGTCACGCGACCGTTCGGCTCGCTCACTGCATCCACCAGCTGGAAGCTAATCTTGCCATCGTCCCTCTGGCGGAGCGGGCCAAGTTCGTGCAGGTAAGACTCATCGGTGGCGCCGTTGTGCGGCTCCCAGGTCATTTCCATGGCGATGTCATCCACTTCAACAGGTAGGGAATATTTAATGACGGAGAAGCCGTTGGTCAGGACCCAACCATCACCGAATTGCCACTGGCGCAGCAGACACGATTCCCCACAAAGATTGGAAATAACGCTCAGCTTGGGCATGTCGGCTTCGAACCAGGATTTCCAGTGGTGCACTGATAGAGGCGCCTCGCGGCCTGACTCGAAGAATCCCGAGGCATCCTTCATAAGATCCAGCTGGTGAAGGCGGTGGTCGATGGTCAGGTGGGTGGTGGTGTATTTATAGATGCAGTTGGCTATGCGGCGGTCGCCTGTGAAAGTCATCTGCTGGCAGTCGTCGTATACGACGGCTAGATCGTTTAACAGCGGTCGCGACAAGAAGACGCCAGCGCCTCCAAACGCGATTATTCCAAAGACGGCAATCTGGGGAAGACCTTCCGAGACACCGCCGATATAGTAGGGCTTGGTGTGGTCGTATTTGGCTAAGGCATCGACCAGCGCGGGCATGGAGAGGAAAAAGGTGTCGTCATCGATTATACAGGCCCATTTCGTCTGTTCTCGCATGTTTTGCTCCAGGAGAGAGACAAGAGCGAAGTACCGATGCAGGTAGTCATCGGCTGATTCCGTGATGAAGAGGTTGATCCCTAGGTTCTCTGCCTTGATTTTCACCTCTTGCACACCCTTTTTCGTCTCATCAGGCTCGATCAGCGCAAAGATGCGAGTCCGAGTGTATCCAGCCCAGTGTTGAAACTGATCAAGCGACTCGTTCAATCGGGAAACAGTAGTCGCCACGCCAAAGTCAATGTGCGATGCGTCGGCCGATTTGGGGGCAACGGGCACTTGGAGGGTGAGCGGCTTTGCGACTGAGCATCCATCCTGCACCACTCCCTCTTCTTGGTTGGTAAACCCCGTCAACTTTGTGTCCCACAGCGGTTGGTCGACTTTTTGCTTGACGGCGAGCGGGTCCGGGTTGAAGTCCACCACGATCTCTCGGCGGGTGTAGTCGGCCAGCTTTTTGATATTCAAGCGATGCAGCATGTCGACGTCCGGGTCGCATTTTACTTTTGTGGAAATGGTGATGTTGTTGGATTGTGTGCGCATGGGAGTGGCGTGTTGCTTGTGGGAGGGCCAGAGTAAAGTCGCGAAGCCGGCGACGGCAAGGAAGATGACGACGAAGCGCAGCATTCTCTTCCAGGCCCATGAGGCCGGAATGGCCCCTTCCCGATTGAATAGCATGACGATGCTCTCCTCTGTAAATTTTAAGAGGCTGTTTGAAGCCCGGCGGATCTTATGTACTTGTTTGCGAAAGTCACCTGGAGAATATCCGCATTGCGCAGGCCGACGCGGAAAGGACTCGAACAAACAAGGAATTGGAGATCCGCGGCGAGAGAAAGACGGTATGTACCGGGGAGGGGGAGGGAAGAAGGGAAGGATGAGGCAAAATCCTCTCAGGGACACGAAGGAACGAGACGGGAGCGAGAGACGATCGCAGTTCCATGGGAGGGCAAAGCGCCCAGGGGCCCTGGTGACGTCGGTCACGTGGACCACTACTACATAAGGTGCATACATTTCACATACTAGTATCGTATACCAGGGTACTGTATAGTAGAGAAAAAATACTCTGTTTTCTATGCTCTGCCCTGCATATACTAAATTGACATCTAGACTAATACAATCATTAATATCCTTACATAAACTACTCCTCCGTATACTCCGGAGCCTCGTACGAGTGACCCTTCTCCGAGTACGGACCGTACTCCGACCACCTTATCCGCTGCCAAGCCCACCCGCCCAACTCTCACTCGCCTTCGTCCACCCGCCCAGCTCCACGTCCACGCGTCATTTCTACCGGAGCACAGTGGGCCCAAGCCAACTTGGCAAGGCTTTCTCTCCCTCCCCCCCCGCAGCAAGATCCCAGACCCTGAAAACAAATGGACAATCCAGAGAAACCAAAAGATTGATCCCAAATACGAGTACCAGGAGACACCACATTCAATCGGGCATTTTTGTATCGTTCGTGCAATCTCATTCCGACGATCGTGTCGCAGATCTGCCTCCTGCCCCTGTCCTTGACCCGCTTTCACCGAGTTCAAATGGGTCTCAACAGTTGACTTTCTATACTCTCTTGGTGCTAGTCGCAAGGCTGATCCTCCTAGACTTCTCAGGGTTCAGGGTCCAACCAGACTGGATGAACGAGGCGGATGTGCCTCCGGTACTGCATTGCAGGTTGGGGGCCCTTAGCCCCAAATGCATCCCCAAGAATTACCCCTCGTACTCTAGTAATAGTTTGTGATAGAAATGAGGCAGCATCTTTATCCTATGCAACTTGAACTGGTCATTATCTGGTCTGCAGGTTTGGGGCTGTGTCGAATCCTTCAGTGATCAGGTGACCTCTTATAGATTGCATTTGCACCATACTCCCTGGCAGTATTAGGTACGGGAAGCTCGGCTATTCTGAACTCCAATCAATTTCAAGGGTCCTGCCAGTGAGTTATCGTGTACAGATCACACCCCTGCATGCATCAATCTCCGTCTCTAAGACCGAGATCTTATCGCATATTTCAACCTTGGCAAGCGGCGGACCTCCTATGCTGCACTCATTTATCTCTCCATGGGCGTACACATATTCGCTAGTTGTAGGCAGCCCGGTTCAATCTGAGTGAAGTGAAAAAAGATTTACTCGTGGTTCTTCGGAATTTGAACTTGAAGCTACTGACCACCACATTCCCGCTATGCCTAATTGGTTGACCTGGTTTTGTATAGTCTGGTCTAGAGCAAGCCATGTTCCGAGTCGTGATTGTGGCGCGATTCAGAACTCGGTCCCGAGGTCAGGGGTACACAATGTGCAAATGCAATACGGATGGGATGTTTAAAAAAATACAAGGAGTGATATATCACTGGTAACATAGCTACTTCGGAGTACTACCGAGGTGCTAATATTCAAGTTGTAACTTCGTCACGGTCGGGCCGATGAATTAGTTCCCGAAGTCGGAGATATATCTTGGGGTATCCCAGAATTACTACATACTACTACATACTACTACCTAGTAGGACCAGTCCCCAAGCCCCCGGCCGTTTGTGCCCAGATTGAAGAGCGTTGCAAACTTCTCGAACTTTACCAAACATTCCGGCCAGATATTTACAACAGACTCACATCTTTTCAAAACGTACCTAGGTACTCCATAGAACAAATCAATTAATCAAATGAATCAAAATTGCCTGTGCTAGTACTAACAGTGCGGCCACTGTATGCTCACGTGACACTACGGCGGGGCAGTCGGTCCAGAGTGCAAGTGCAGGCCCGATGGGGAAGGTTTGATTCCGCACACTCTGGCCTTGCGGAGAGGTGGATATCAACGGAGTTCACCCAACTTGTCTATCGCCTATCAGTCATCGCTTGCAAGCCTTCTTTCTATCCTATCATTTGAATTTATATCCTGCGCAACCCCGCCATGGTCGCGCAATCGTTGAGCTCGCTCCTTCAGCGGGCATCGATTGACGATCACGAGGAAGTTCTCCAGGCTTGCACCAACTCGCTCTCCAAGAACAAGTCCGACTTGAACGCTCATCACATTAAGATCATTGCCCTATTAAAGCTCGACCGATACGAAGATGCCCTCCGCGTGTTCGAGACCGGAGCCGATGATTTGAAGAGACGGGCTAGCTTCGAGTACGCATATGCGCTATACAAAATCGGGAAACTAAATGAGTCTATGACTGTTCTGTCCCAATCGGAAAGGAGCCGAGGCATTAACCATCTCGATGCGCAAGTGGTATGTTATCTAGGAACCCGAGCCTTAGGGTATATGGAACACGGACAATCGCTAATGGCTTCTCTTGAATAGAGCTACCGGGCTGAGCAGTTCCGCCGTGCTGCTGATCTCTACGAACAACTGGCCCAAGATAAGGAGGCGCACCGCCATGAAGATAACGACTTGAGCATCAACTCGTGGGCTACCGATGCCCAGCTCCAGTGGAAAGGCGAGCCGGAACATGTACGCCACGAGCGGCCGTCGAGGGAGGACCTGGAATCCTTTGAGACAACCTTCAACGCGGCTTGCTTGAACATTGCGCGGGGAGCCTTACCCCAGGGCGAGGTTCTTCTCAACAGAGCGAAGAGTGAGTTTCCATGAACTTAGTCCCAGGTGAACTGTCTCTGACTATCATACAGATATTTGCCAGACATCGGAGGACCTCACACCCGAAGACCGGGCCGCGGAGCTGCTTCCAATTGCTGTACAACACCTTTACGTTTTGATTAGACTGGGCAAGAATGAAGAGGCCGAGGCGCTTCTGAAGGAGATCTCCGTGGACGAGTAAGATGGCCATCACTTTTATTTAGGCAAGAGTTTACGCTTACCATTGATTCAGTATCCACGAACTCTCGACCAAGAAGATCGCACGGAACAACATTGTCCTGGCTCGTCAAACAGTGACCAACCCTTTCACCCTCTACAAGTCTCTCCACTCCACACCCGATGCTACCAACAACGACCGCTTGTTCGATTTCCAAGACAACACCTTGGTGGGTAACGCCCACGCTGCGGACCTTCTGGTTCAGAAATATGATGGTATGGTTCGGTCAACGGCAAAGGCGCTTGCTAAAAGCTCTTGCCCGTCCACTGAGTCGAGCACCAACCTTCTTTCCGTGTACAATGCCGCTGGCCAAGCGGAAGGACAGGATGGTGCCAAGGCCCTGAGGAAGATTGTTCCGCTTTTGGAGCGTCGACCAAAGGATTTGGGTCTGCTTTTGACTGTTGTTCAGCTCTATGTCAAGGCTGGCAACACAACCTCAGCAATCACAGCCATGGAACGCTCACTACGCAGCTTGGAGGAATCCATCTCCGAGGCCGACCAGGATGCCCGATTCAACCCCGGCCTGCTTAGCACCCTCGTCTCTCTTTACCAGCTCGAGGGCCGGAAGCTCCAGATACGTTCTACCCTGGGACAAGCCGCTTCATACTGGCAGAAGAAGCCGGAGGCCCCAACCTCTCTTCTGCGCGCTGCTGCAACCTCCCTGCTCCACTCCGACGACAAAGCCGATTTGGTCGCAGCCGGCGACCTTTTCCGATCCCTGCTCCAGAAGGACTCCACAGACCGTATTGCCATCGCCGGCTACGTCGCGTCACAAGCGACACTGGACTACTCACAGGTGGAATCGCAACTCGACCGTCTCCCCGCAATCGGCGAGCTCGTCGGTGATGTCGACGTCTCCGCCCTGGAGTCAGCAGGCATCATGCCCTCCGCCTCCGTGGCGGCGGCAGCTTTCGCCAAAGCCCGCAAGCGTTCCGCCACCGACAAGGAGGGTCAAGTCAAGAAGCGTGTTCGCCACTCTCGTCTGCCGAAGGACTACGATCCGGCAAAGCAGGCTGACCCCGAGCGCTGGCTCCCCATCCGTGACCGCTCTTCGTACCGGCCCAAGGGCAAGAAGGGCAAGCAACGTGCTGCGGAACGTACCCAAGGTGGTGCTGTTAATGAGAGTTTGGATAGCTCTGCTCAGCAGAAGCCTGCTAGCGGTGTTGTATCCAGCAAACAGAATAAGAAAAAGAAGGGCAAGCGGTAGTTTATCACTCTGTTGCTGGTGTATATGTCATGTTTTTGCATAGATGAGAATTCAGGCTTGAGCCTTGACGCATGAACTCTTCCATGAACCATGTTTTTCCTTAACGTACTGTATACCTATGGGATTGACTACTAGTAGGATTATCAAATGATTTAAACTAATAGTACTCTGTTCTTACTAGCATCTGGTAACCCTAAAGCGAGCCAGTTGTGGCTACTAGTAATGCGCATATTAGATACTAACTAACACCCACTAGTAGTAGATGTTGGCGATTTGGAGTACACAGAGTACAGTGGAATATTTGCGACTATCGTCCTACTGGTATCTGGAATGTCCAGACATCACCCTCTCTATTGACTCTGACATGCTCGGAGAAAAATACAATATTCGAACTTCACACAGCCTTCTTGTTGGCGATATCCTGAACCAGCGCCTTGACCTTCTCCCATCTCCATTCCTCCAATCCAACTAGACGATTGTCATCGCTTTCCCAGGGGTGCGCCAAGGCCTTGGTAGCGAGACAGTATTGAATCTGCACGACGAAGGTTGCATCACTAATATTGCCAGACCTGAGATCCTCCAAAGCCTTCTGCAAAATGGGTTCCATATCGTTAGATGTAGCCACCCACTCCCCACCTGAAACCTCCTTAGCGATGTCGAAGAGTTGGTTCTGCGACATGAAAACAGAGTGGATATAGACTGGTCGATTCAGAGTTTCTTGCGGATGCAAGAGGACATTGGCGGTCGCTTTGCCAACATCTTCCAACGCTGTCCATGGATGAACGTTATTTCCATCACCGAAGATCCAAGTTGTCTTTTCTTGGAAGTTCAGACCGGCAAAACCAGTCGAGAGACACCAGTCAAGAAAAGCACCGCAAGATATCAGGGTGTAAGTCATGCGGTTTTCAGCAGCTTGTTTCTTCACAGCTTCGTAGGATACTTTCTTTCGGCCAAAAACGGGCAGGTCGTAAACACCTGGTAGTTCGGGATCTAATCCAAAGTCACTTGTTATACTAATCATATGTGAAAATAGAGCAGAGCATTAGTTAATGATCACTTGTTCTGGCTGTAAGGAAGATGGTATCACGAACAAGCGATAAACCCCGACCTTAGCTGCTGCTTCAATTAATCGGAGGGAAGTCTCGACATCGGGCGAGGAAGTAGTATCGATCACTGCGTCTTGTCCGGTGAGAGTCGCAGATAGCTCGTCGATCGATGTGAAGTCAACGACTCTGACATGAGTCCCGGCTGGGAAGGACCTGGGACTGCGACTAAGAATCGTTACATTGAACTCTTTGACAGCGAGCAATGCATTGAGTACTTGAGCCCCGACATTCCCACTAGCCTAATCATAGCTCGTTAAATTCGGTATTCCCCGGCGGAGTATATGGGTTAGGCCTTACCCCGGCGAGAGCCACATTTCTAATGGTAGGTGACATTTCCGTTTGGTTTTAAGAAGATAAAATTCGTGGTAAGGAGCGTGAAAAGAGAATATTGGACAAATATTGAGAGCTAACCACGCATTTAGATTCTATTTAAGCGATTCGTCTTTACTGTATCACCTTGAAGATCGTGACCTGGCGATGAGAGGCTCCTCGTGAAACAGGTTGAAACGGACTTCACCGGAGATCGAGATCAGATTACTCAGTAGGATTTTCGAAGCTTTCGAATTGAATCTGTGATTCCTTGACGAGTTAATGCTGGGATGCATGTTCTCCGCCTTCGCATCTCGTCTCGGTCTCCGAAGTAAAACCGGATTACGAAATTTGTTATCTCCGTGCCCCCGAGATCATCTATTGCGCAGCCGAAGCCACGGAATATTTAGTGTGCCTTGTTAATTATGCCACCGATACTGCGCTCCATAGCCGCAACGGGTCTAGCTGCTCTTCTATGGGTATTTAGGGCTGCTATACTGGCGGAAAAGGGGACTGCTCGTAATACCAGTGTTCCAAAGTTACTAGTGTTTCCCACCATAAAAATTTGGATAGCAGACTGTAGGTACCCAGTTAAATACGCAGGGCTCTAAATTGCTAAGACCCAACAATTTATAAGGAGTTTAACTGCCCTGAATATTCTAATTAGAGCCATTGGTTCCGTTGCGGCTATATGGCGCCGTGCAAAATCGACCTGGAATAGTTGATCGATCAGCCCCGCAAATGGGTCGGGCCGGTTAATCATGGAAGCATCGAAACATAGCGAGACGTCAAGTCTGTGCTTCGAAGTATGAACTGGCAAGAACACGGATAATCTGGGATCTTTCGCGCTCATTTCAATGCGTACATCGCAAGATGGGCCTGCGCAGCCATATTTAAACTCAACGACTAAATGTTATTGATCCATCCATCCTTTTGGCCCCCAAGTCCCTCCTGCACGCTGATATAATCGATTTTCCCCTCCCACTGCCAATTTTACTGCCTGAATTGACTGAGGGGACCAATATGTTTCTCTAGTGTATAAGGCAAGCTCAATTATTCACCCAAAATGGACAGTGATTCATGCCCTGAGGATCATACCGATCCAGGCTCATATCAATTACCAAAGAGACAGAAAATAAACCACACCGGTAGCTTGACCTTATTGCGACATGATTCATATACCGTCGCGTGGATTTGTGCTTTGCCCCTCGAGAGGGCAGCGGCCCTTATCATGCTGGATGAAGAGCATGCGCCATTACCGATATATCTTGGTGACAGTAACACGTACAAGCTTGGCAATATCAAGCAGCATAATGTCGTGATTGCATGTCTACCATCAGATCATTATGGAACTGTCAATGCGGCCAATGTGGTGACGAACTTGACACGAACTTTCCCAGAAGTCAAGGTAGGATTGATGGTCGGGATCGGTGGCGGAGTACCTAGCAAGGCAAATGATATAAGACTGGGAGATGTTGTGGTTGGATCAAGAGTTGTACAGTATGATCTGGGTAAGATTATCGGTGATGGAGAGCTACAGACGACATCTTGGCCAAAGTTTCCGCACCAACTACTTAGCACGGCGGTTTCTGCTTTAAGGTCGGAGCATGAGCGAGGCCCTAGTCAGATACCGTTAATCCTAAATCAGAAGCTAGAGGGTCACTCTAACTATCGTCGCCCGAAATTGCCGGATCGTCTCTTCCACACCGAGTACAATCATGAGTTTGCTGATCAAGATTGTGATCAATGCGATCAGTCCAAATTGGTTTCACGGGGCAGACGGGTCTCCAACGATACTGTGATTCATTATGGTCCAATTGCCTCAGCGAACCAAGTGATGAAAAGCGGCGCCACCCGAGATCACCTTGCTCAACAGCTGAAGGTAATGTGCTTCGAGATGGAAGCAGCGGGCGTGATGGACACTTTGCCTTGTCTGACAATTCGTGGAATATGCGACTATTCGGACTCCCACAAGAGCAAGGGCTGGCAGAGATATGCCGCAGCGACGGCGGCTGCATATGCAAGAGAGTTACTCGGGGAGCTATCTACGACCAAATGTGATCGGAACCATCCCTTTGAATTCAACTCAAGTGAGTCGATATTCCGTTCTTTCAATGTATTGCCTTACAGCTGCTCATACCTCATAGCAAATGAGAACTCACCACACGAATCTCGAAAGCTTCTACTGGACTCTTTAAATTTTGGCCAAATTGCTTCCAGGAAGTTGAATATTAAAAGCGCTCATCCAAAGACATGCCGATGGTTCCACGAACATCCCGACTATCAAGCATGGCTTGACCCAACACGACTAGTGGACCACCACGGATTTTTATGGGTCAGTGGCAAGCCAGGCGCTGGCAAATCAACGATTATGAAATCTACCTACTCGGACATGAAAAAGAGACACAATCGCCGGAGAAATGTTCTTGTTGCCTCGTTTTTCTTCAATGCCCGAGGCGAGTACCTAGAGAGATCTATTCTGGGGATGTATCGATCATTACTTTTCCAGCTTCTCAAGGGGTATCCTTCCCTCCAGTCAGTGCTAGATGACTCCGACGTTATTTCACACGGATGTACTTCTTTGAATGTTTTGAAGGACCTCTTCAGTACTGCAGTTCTGAGTCTTGGAGAGAGATCTCTTACTTGTTTTGTGGACGCCCTTGATGAGTGCGATGAACAACAAGCTGTGGACATGGTTCAGTACTTTGAAGACCTCGCCGAGCAGTCTACGTCTGAAAATATTTTATTTAAAGTCTGCTTTTCTAGTCGTCATTATCCTTATCTCACCCTCAAAAAAGGGATTCGACTTACACTTGAGGATCAGATAGGCCATTCACAAGACCTAGAGACCTATGTCACAGGCCGCCTTCAAATTCAAGACCCAGTGCTGAAAGCAGAGTTACAGACAGGGCTTCTCGACAAGGCTTCCGGTGTTTTTATGTGGGTTGTCCTAGTTGTGGACATTCTCAACAAAGAAGAGCGAAGAACGGGATTATATTTACGGAACAGACTTGACGAGATACCGAGTGATTTGAGCGATCTGTTCAAAGATATCCTCAGGCGGGATAATGATAATATGGAGGAGCTTCTTCTTTGTGTTCTTTGGATTCTTTATGCAGCTTATCCACTCCAACCAAAAGAGCTTTACCATGCTCTCTGGTCTGGCTTAGCGCTCAAAGGCCGAGTCAAGGGTAGGCCGATGATCTTCAGCGACCCAGATTCAAGTGCCAATTTGGGAAAGTTTACCAGATTCGTCACCAGCTCTTCCAAAGGCCTCGCCGAGGTCACAACGTCCGAAACTCCAAAAGTGTAATTCATTCATGAATCTGTGAGGGACTTTTTGATCAAAGATAAAGGTCTCTATCAAATGTGGCCAGATCTCGGCCTTGATTGGGAAAGCTCAAGTCACGAGGTGCTCAAAAAGAGCTGTGCTCTCTACCTCGATTGCATTTATGCTCATGAACCCACCGAAAAATGCCAGCCGATGGCCACACTACCCGTGGATGTCATGAATGCATACCCTTTTTCAAAGTATGCCTACCAGCGGGTTTTTTATCACTGTGAGATGGCAGCGGAGTCGAACCCCCAGTGCGAATTCTTAGATTCCTTTCAGCGCTCAGGATGGATCGAGGCCAACAACCTATTTGAGAAGCATGAAATTCGCAAATATGGTCCAGATGCGAGTCTCATTTACATACTAGCCGAGAAAGGGTATCCAAATCTGATTCGGCAGTGGTCTGAGCGCGACCCGCATGTTCACTCCATGTGCCCGAAGGAGCGATACAGGTATCCATTTTTCGCCGCCATTGCGAGTGGCAATCAAGAAGCTATTGCTGCTATTTTGAATGCCCCTTCAGGTATTTTCAAAGGGGTCAATATCTTGGAAGGTATCAAATGTGGAAAAGACCATAGGAGGTACATGGACCACACCCGTCTTACCTGGGCTGCTATGAATGGCCTGACAAGCGTTATCCCGATGCTTCTACGCCAAGGTCTGGAAATTGACGAGCAAAATGATAAGATGGAAAGTCCGCTTCTCAGTGCTTTAGGTCGCGGCCAAGAACTGGCCGTCAACCTTCTCCTTGAGAGTGGAGCTAATACCGGGAATCAAGATATGTTCAGTTCTGCTTGTGAAAAAGGGTTTCGTCGTCTCGTTATTGCCATGATTGAAAATGGAACAGAAATTGATGGACTGAGTTGGTCTTCAGAAACCCCGCTTTCATTGGCGTCGGAAAATGGCCATGCTAAAGTGGTACGGACTCTAATTCAGCAAGGCGCAACAGTGAATACCAGGAGCGATCATCAAATGTCGCCACTCGTCCAAGCATCATTAAGAGGACACAAAGAGGTGGTCCGAATCCTTATCGACAATGGAGCTAACATTGATGCCCATGATCAACCTTGGAGATATACACCTCTTACCGCGGCGTCAAGTAAGGGACACAAAGATATTGTCCAGATTCTTGTTGACAAGGGCGCAGACATAGAAAGAGTCGATGGTTTAAAGTGGACGCCTCTCGTACGTGCAATGAGGTATGCCAACCATAAGGCCATTGTCCGATTTCTCCTTGAGAGAGGTGCAGATATTGATGTGCAAGATAAAGACGGACATACAGCTCTTATTCAAGCTGTGATTCATTCGGATGCGGAGATTGTGAAACTTCTTATCGACTTCGGAGCTGACGTCAATTTTAAGAATGATTATGGCCAAACGCCTTTATCAGTTGCGTTCAAGGAGAAGCCGGTTGATCGAGACAATATACAGCTTCTCATAGATCATGGGGCTGTTGAAAATGTCTAATCGAAAAGACCAAGTGTTTTCACTCATTTCTTTTTCTCTCCAACTCCGCGTCAAGGCTGATCTGACTCCGAACTTTGAGCCTCGAATTTACTTTTTGCGTAATAGTAGTTATCAAATCACAAAATAAATATAACTGGGTAGGATGTCTACCCTAACATGTGGTTAATCGGCCTGACCCACTTGTGGGGACTAATCGAGTAGTTTAACTACTTCAACTCGATTATGTGTGGATGACTGGGGCTAATATTTTTGCATGATCGTGATCGCTTGCCTGAAGGGTCCCATAAGATACATTTCCAGAACGCCTAATCCATCCGTTGAAAATAGCAGTCTTCGCATAAAGCTAACCCAAGCAGCCCCAGAAGAAGAAACCGAAAGTTTGATCGTCCTTTCAAAGACCGTTCTCCACTCTCCCATGGAAAACGCCAATTTAGATGACAATCGAGAGCATGTAGAAGGAAATGGAAACCGAGAAGATAGACTCGACATCAAATTAACCAAGCGGAGTCCGAATAGTACCGCACTGTCGATCGTAGTGTTCGAAGATCATGCGCACGAGTTTGAGATCGTTCAAGGCATCGGCTGTATCTGTTTTCGCGGTCACATTCCCAGTGAAGAAGAAGTACATATCCTCAAATTGTCGTTCGTATGCTTCGGCAACGGTGCTTGTGTGAACAGTTCTCCTGACTTGAGATTTTGCGACGGAGCTAGCTCCATTTGTGCCATTCCCATTCGCAGTGGAACCATTGGCTTTTGATTCAGAAGTCTCTGCTTCCTCGATAATAACCCGCATTGCGCCGTCGCCAGATCCAGAAGGACAAGGGAAGTCGTATTCCAGGCTGATCGTCTTGCTTGCGCCGTAGATGGTGAGGTGAGAGTCGCAACGTGGAACAGCATCGATACCAGCTTCGTAGATCATGGTGAAGGGGTGGTCCTCTCCTCGCGGTGTCGGTGTAGTGGAACATGGCGCTGTAGAAGGGGTCGGTGATTGAGATGTTAGCAACAGCGTCGGGGTAACCGAATGATTCTCGGACGAGGGAGAGATCGTGCGAGCCTGTTGTGCCGAGGAAACGGGCGAAGGCGATTCGGTCGGAGGTGAGGTCGTCTGTGTTTCCGAAGATGTCGGTGAGTAGGGTGTGGAATTTGGTTGTATTGATGATTGTGTTGGGGACGGCTAGAGAGCCGTTGGTGCTGCCGTTGGTGCTGCCGTTGGTGTTTCCATTTAGATTCAAGTTCAGATTGAAAGCGTTACTGATGCCATTGCCGTTGCCGTTGCCGTTTATGCTGTCGCTGCTGGACGGATTGGAGGAAGGTGATAGTGGACCGGCGATGTTCCGGCATCGCGCGTAGTAGATCCGGTCCAGAGAGTCGAGTTCTTTCTTGAAGTTCTCTGTGAAGCAGGGGGCGTAGCGACGCGCGCATCCGACGAAGACTTTTGGGCCGCCTTCGAAGCGGGAGTTGGCTGTGCCTTTTTTGGTAGCGGCGCGGATGCGTCGGAGGCCGTCGATGCTTAGGGTCAGTGGGACCTCGACCATGACATGTTTACCGGCTTCGAGGGCCGCGATGGTGTGTTGCTCATGGTATTCGAAAGGGAGGAGGTTAAGAACGAGGTCCACGTCTGGATGGTTTATGACGTCGGAGGTGGATGTAGTGATCTCTTTGATGTGGAAACGCTTCTGGCAACGGTCGAGAGAATCGGCGAAGGCATCGTGGAGTATAATAAGGCTGAAACGAGTGAAGAGGGCGTGGAGAGCTGGCAGGTGGACGGACTCGGCGGTCTGGGAGGCACCCAAGATGCCAAGCCGCAGGACCGGGGTGGACATGGTGGCGTTGAAAGAGGAGGATAGCAGGGGTCAGGCAGGTCAGGTCAGGTCAGGTCAGCTTTCCTAAGGTTATGATGATTGTGATGGTGTTGATGTGAGATAAAGGCGAAAGGTGATGTTTATCGAAGGGAGATCAGAAACGGGGGAGTGAACAGGAGAAGTTGGGTAAGCTGGAAAGTTAGGCAAAGAAAGTATGAATGGAACTTGAATCCTTCAGGTTCAGATTCAAGGGAGTTGGTATGCTCGGCAGTGACATCAGTGGGCTCTCCCCGTGTTGGACCTGTTAGACATGGTTGGTTCAGCCTCCCCAGAATGCGACCGTGGGTAGATTCATTGGGTCCATTGGATTGGGGAATATGTTGTATCACATTGGATACACATAGTATGTATACCAGTAGATCTCCTATAAGGCACTGTATACTCCGTATACTATGTTAGTTACTACTTACTAGTTACTAGTGTAGTTCTTGGTAGATCGGGGAGAGTGGAGCTGGTGGGCCAGGCACATAAAGCATGTACTGTACAGTACTGTGTGTACAGTAATTACTCTACTGCAGTATACTGCGATGCAGTCATGCAGTTATGCAGTGCAGTGGTAACTAGTTGGTATTTACTTAGAGTATCTAAGTTACTACACTTCTAGTACTACCAGTATATATATACCATTATACCTAGTACTCCTAGTACCAGTAGATATCAACTACGACTCGGAGTACTGTACTATGTTATGATCAACACCGCCTCCAGCACAGCCTCACCTTCAGCCTTGCCCCATTTGGATGGCGCCTGATCGGACTGCGTCATCTTAGTTCCTTCAAGTTCCTAGTCACTTTCAAGTTGTGCTTACCATCTTCCTTCTTCCTTTCTCTCCTCTTCACAGCCATGGGTGTATGTATCCCCTTGCTATCTTCCATCTCACCAGCTAATGCTAATTGCCCCAGTTCGCTTCCAAAATCGCAGCTACTCAGCAGAATCAGCAGAACCAACAAACCCAACAAAACCCACCAAGTCAAGACCAGACCATGAGTGGTAGCTACGGCGGCGCTCCCCCAACGGGATATACAGGTGGCCCTCCTCCCTCTGCATTGCGGGCTGGTGGATATGTAAGTCAATACTCGATCAGGCCATCTGGCGACGTCATGGCGGAGAGAAAGAGACAGAGAGAGCAAGTTCAAGTTGTTGACATGCAGTTTGCAGCAGCAGCAGCAGTACCAGGCTTATCCTGGATCCCCTCCTCCTCAGGGTTCGGTAAGCTCCCTTCTACATCCATCACCCTAGCCCTTTCATCTTTGTTTCCCCCCTCCTTCTTCTCCACTTGGGTTTTGTTTTTGTTTTTCCCACCTTTTTTTTTGCGGCTACCCCTCCATCCTCCACGATAACCCCCACGGTCTCTCTCGGTCCTCGTCAACATGTCAGGCCACTACTCCCAACAGGGATATCAGCAATATCCTCCGTATGGTGGCTCACCTGCTCAGCCATACCAGCCCTACAGTCCTCCGCCTGCCGGTTCCTACAACAGACCTCCTCCGCAACAGCCCACCGGCTACCCCGCACCGCAAGGTCAGCAGGGCCAGGGCCAGGGCCAAAGTCAAGGTTATGCACGTCCAGCACCGCCGCCACCGCAGGGCCAGCCTTATGGATCGTCGGGATCGCCCTACCCCGGACAACAAGCTCCTTATCCTGGAACCTCCTCGTCGCCCTACCCTCCCGGACCGCCTTCGCATTCACCTTACCCTGGACAACAAGCGCCGCACCCTGGAGCCCACTCCCCATACCCTGGACAGCAACCACCCTATGTACAGATGAGCCCTATGTATCCCTGATACTGCGTTGAGCTTTGTATCGTGTTTGGCGACGGAGTCTGCGTTATGTTGAATTCCAAGGGAACGCCAGATGCTAACCCCATATCTCTCATAGGGCCAGGCACCTCCTTCCTACCCTCCCCAGGGCGCTCCTCCATCTGGATATGCCCCTCAAGGTAGCCGCCCCGGCCCTTCACCTGGACCTCCCGGTGGCCAGTATGGTGCTCCCGGCGGTGCCCCTCCCCCCCCCAGGCTCCTGCAGCCACTCCGCAACAAGTCGCAGCATATCGTCAGCTGTTGATTAGCACAATCCAAGAGAAGAACCTGCAGCCCTTCTACCCACCAGAGCGCCTGGACCGCCTGGTACAGAGCCTGGTGAACGAGGCGCCGGGTAAACTCCAGAGACTCATACACGAATGGGCTGTGCCGATGGAAGTCGCGACAGATGTCATGAAGCTCTCTCTATTTGACGTGATTCTTTACGTGGACGACAGTGGCTCAATCGAATTTGAGGAGAAGGGACTGCGCAAGGATCAGTTGAGACAGATTCTCGGTCTCGTTGCCACGGCCGCGTCTACCTTCGATCAGGATGGTATCTCGGTGCGATTCATGAACTCGACCGAGAGCGGCGATGGCATCCGTAACGCCGACGATGTCAACAACTTGGTCAGCCGGGTTCGCTTCGCAGGATTGACTCCTCTAGGCACGAACCTGAGGAGCAAGGTGATCGACCCGATGATCGTAGGCCCGGCCCGCGCCAACCGTTTGGACAAGCCTGTTCTGGTGATCACCATTACTGATGGGCAACCGGCCGGTGAGCCCCACGGTGCTGTGGGCGACGCCATTCGCTATGCCGTCGAGGAGACTTCACGCACTCGGTACGGTCGTGGGTCGGTTTCGTTTCAATTCTCGCAAGTCGGAACTGATCAGCGCGCCCGCGAGTTCCTCGGAGATCTGGATGAAGATCCGCAGATCGGCCATCTGATTGATTGCACCTCGAGTAAGTGGAACTTGACAATCTAAATGCGATATTAGGGCTTGACTGATGATTTCGCGATAGACTTCGAAGTCGAGCAGGATGAGATGTCTCGAGCCAATCCGCCAATCCACCTGACTCGTGAGCTTTGGGTATGTTTGAATTTCTCCCAACTTCAGTCTCTATCTTTTCTGTTGCTTTCCATACTGATTGTCTCTGTAGTGTGCCAAACTCATGCTCGGAGCCATCGACTCTTCTTATGACACCAAGGATGAGAAGAGCTCACGTTCTGGACCACCACCTCCGCAGCAGGGCTCCTACGGCGGATACAACCAGCCGCCGCCAGGGCCCGGACCATCTGGGCCTGGAGCCGGAGGGTATGGGGCACCCCCCCGGGGCACCACCCCCAGGCTATCCTCCCCAGGGCCACAGCCCACAACCCGGCTATCCCCCTCAACATCAACAACAACCCTCGTACTCTGGCGCGAGTCGACAAGCCCCAGGATATGGACCGCCACCGCAACAGTCGTATGGATATGGCGGGTCATCGTCGCACCCTGCAGGAGGGGCACCAGGGTATCCGCCGGCTGGCGCGTATCCTCCGCCACCGCGTCGTTATTAGTGACGTCAGGGGGGCCTTTGGGGGTCCACTTCCTTAAATTTTGTTGTGCACTTTTTCCCCAAGTTTGACTTTGACATTGACTTTATTCTGTAACTTTTGCCCGGGCTAGTCTCCAGGGGGTATAGGAATGGCGGGGGAATGTCATCCCACGTTTCAGATTCACTGGCCCTACAAGGATGTACCACCACACCATTACTATGTAACCCATCAGTAGTAGACGAACCGGTCTGTGCATCTAGCGTGTCACGATCGGCAGTCGCCAAGGTCTGAAGATGATGGGCCGCGTATGTACCTGTGCAGGTACTTCGTCCTGTGGTGCGCCCTGGGATACTGGACCAGAGGTAGGGCAAATGAAGTTGCCACATCATACATAAGTGGCCTTCTAGAAGCATGCCCGTTCCTTGGGAATTGGAGTATCTGACTGCAGGCGGGGGCCTAATCTGTCAAGGCCATCCACGGTTGCGTCGGTTGAGAAGGCGTGGAAAGGCGTGGGTGCTAAGAATATCCACTTCTTGGCACTTTCATCGGGGGCTGTGTTGCTGTTCAACTTCCTCTCTGTTGCTCTATTTCTCTGTTTCTGGGACTCTGCTGTTTCCCTGGCTGCAACCGTCTCCACTCAATCCAAATCCTCCCAAACATTTTTCTTCCTCATTTGTTCTCCAGTTTAACCGTTAGGCTGGGTTAACTTTATCTCTCTTTCGGCCTTTTGCGCACCGCTTCAAGCCTCTACCCGCATTCGGTACACTCTTGGTACGGGTGTACTTGTCTATTGCCTTTGCCTTTAGGCTACCTCTTTATCTTCCTCCTTATTCTCTCCTCCCCTTCAATCCTCTTTCATACAGCCCTGATTCTCCCTCACCCGACCCTTCTTCGTGTCTCATCCCACCCTCCCTATACCCCTCGTTCACCACCGATCATCGGGGATCGTTGCATTCTCTGCAAAATCGAGATCTGACCGTGAACGCCACACTATCACCACCACCACACCACACCACACCACTCTCGCGGTATGCGGTAAAAGAGGATGAATTCTCGTTTGAACCCCTCTGATTAGTTCGACCGCTGTGATTCATTTTAGAAGGCATCTGGGGAGACTTCCACCAGATTTTCAGACGATCACCGATCGTCGCCTCCGCGCAGACCTGATCCACGACGCATTCCCGCCATGACCAACCACGATGAAGAGAACACCCGACCGGACGAGCAGCCCGACATTCTGAGGCGTCCATCCTTGCTCTCGTCGCGTACCATGTCCGACTCGGGTCGCCGCGCCTCTCACCAACACGTGCGATTTTCCACCGATCTCGAGAGGCCGAACGATGACCGCGCCAGCAATGTCAATCCCAATCCCAATCCCACTGCCAGTGCGACCACCGCTGGCAATGCCAATGCCACTGACAATGTCGACAACGACCGTCGTCCTGGCTCACGAGGCCTCACTATCGACACCAGACTTGCGCCGCCAACCGTCCAATCGCCCGCTCGCTCGCCGACCTCCCCCCCTTTCCCCGAGTGCCATCTCCCCGAATGCCAACCCTCTCGCCGCTGCGACCCTCTCCCCAACTTCGCCACAGGGTACAGAATCCTCGAGCGGTCGCTCTCGATCGCGCAACCGTGGCTACTCGCTGCGTCGGTCCATTTTCAATAAAACCATCCAGAGCCCCGATCAAGATGCCTCCCCCGGCATCAGCCCGCGGGCATCAGTTGAAATTACGGAAGTTCCTGTGCCTGGCGCACCTCACCCGATCGACGAGAAGAATGAGTTGCAGGTGCTCCCTACAGCCACGATTGAAGCGCCCACCAAGGAAGAAGTCGCCACCTCCGTATGGTCTGATCCCTCGGAAGGCCCACTGAAGGAATACATGTCTGTGGCTCAGGGCGAGTGGAAGAAGAAGAAGGCCGCTGGAGCGGTTATCATGACTCGCGTCGAGGCATTCATGACCACTTTACAAAAGTTCATCTTGCGCATCAAGGATATTCCCCCAACCAAGGACGGCCGCCACATCGATCTCAACCCATCATTAGTTGATACCTTGGTCGATGAGCGCACCGGAAAACCGTACATCGCCAATTGGATTCGCTCGAGCCGCTACAGTTTCTGGAGTTTCTTCCCTCGACAGTTCTTTGCGCAGTTCACAAAGTTGGCCAATTTCTATTTCTTGGTTGTCGCCATTTTGCAGATGATTCCGGGACTGAGTACGACGGGAACGTACACTACCATTGTTCCACTTTTGATCTTTGTTGGTATCTCAATGGGAAAAGAAGGATTTGATGACTGGCGCCGGTATCGTCTCGACAAGGAGGAGAATAATCGATACGCTTGGGTTCTTCGACCTGGTCAGCTGCCTGTCACGGATGGTGCGTCCATGGCCAGTGGTGCTCACGACTGGGTCGAGATCAAGTGGCAGGAGATCCGTGTTGGTGATGTGATCAAGCTCCATCGTGACCAGCCTGTTCCTGCGGATTTCGCCCTGCTGCATGCTAATGGCCCTAACGGGGTCGCCTACATCGAGACCATGGCCTTGGACGGCGAGACAAATCTTAAGAATAAGCAACCATGCCAGCCTGTCGCCAAGGTCTGCGCCACCGTTGACGATATCGTCAGCAATGCGTTACATTTTGTCGTCGAGGACCCGAATATCGACCTGTACAAATTCGACGGCCATGTCACAGTCAATGCCCAGCAGAAGCTGCCTCTTACCAACAATGAAATTGTCTACCGTGGTAGCATTATGCGGAATACTGATTGCGCATACGGTATGATTATCTATACCGGCGAGGAGTGCAAGATTCGCATGAATGCGAACAAGAACCCGCGCATTAAGAAGCCTGCTCTGCAAGGCAAGGTCAACCGCGTGGTCGTGCTCATTGTACTGTTGGTTCTGATTTTGGCTGCTGCATGCACTATTGCCTACACCTTTTGGTCTGATGATGTGGAGAAGCATTCCTGGTACCTCAGCGATGCTAGTGTGGAAATTGGTCCAATCTTCACATCATTCCTGATCATGTTCAATACCATGATCCCTATCTCGCTCTACGTCAGTATGGAGATCGTGAAGGTCGTCCAAATGTTTCTTTTAAATGACATTGACATGTACGACCCGGAAACCAATACACCCCTCGAAGCCCGCACTTCGACTATCAACGAGGAGCTCGGCCAAATGAGCTACATTTTCTCTGACAAGACTGGTACACTGACGAACAACTCCATGCGCTTTCGCAAGATGAGCGTTGCGGGTACCGCCTGGTTGCACGATCTTGACCTGCAAGAGGAGGCTGCTCGCGAAGGCGACCAGCACAAGCTCATCCATAAGAAGCGGAATCTGAAAGGCAAGAAGGCTGCAAACCGCAAGTCCAACGTTTCAGACGCTCGCGTAGCTCCTCGTCCTTCTAATATCTCCGCCGGCCTGGATGCCCCGCGGCCCCATGGCCGCGCTGCCAATTATCGCACAGCTGAAATGCTCGAGTACATCCAGCGCAAGCCGTACACCGTCTTTGCTCGCAAGGCCAAGCTCTTGCTCCTGTCCATCGCCCTCTGCCACACTTGTATCCCCGAAGAAGATGAGAACGGCTCCGTCACCTTCCAAGCCGCCTCTCCCGATGAAATGGCCCTGGTCTTGGCCGCACAGGAACTCGGCTACCTCGTTGTAGATCGCCAGTCCAATTCGCTTACCATCCGCAATCACCCCAATGGTCCCAACGAACCCTCTGTGGACGAAACATACGAGGTTATGGATGTGATTGAATTCTCCAGTGCACGCAAGCGCATGTCGGTTGTTGTTCGCATGCCTGACCAGCGCATCTGCGTTTTCTGCAAGGGTGCCGATACCACACTCATGCGACTGCTCAAGAAGGCCGATCTGGCGCAGGAGAAGGCGACTGAGATCGAAAATCGCGTCAGCAAGCGCAAGGCTGCCGAGGCGAACCAGATCATCCGCCGTAATAGCGAGTACCAGAGTCGCAAGGATAGCGGTGTCCGGAACAGTTTTGCGAGTCGGCCTAGCTTTGCTCGTCGCCGGTCTTCGGTCTCGGGTAATCATACCTCTACCCTGCGTCAAAGTATCGATGTTTGGCTTCGTGATCGTGAGACGGAGGGTGGTATTCTCAACCGTGACGATGCTGAGTATTACAGTCCTCGTCCTTCGGCGCAGATGGGTAGATTCTCGACTGCGATTTCGGACTCTGGAAGCGAGACCAATGGAGAAGAAGATGAGGATTTGGTCGAGGAGGCTCTTGTTGTGAATGAGGCTGCCATCTTTGAGAGATGCTTCCAGCACTTGAATGACTTTGCGACGGAGGGGCTGCGTACCCTGCTCTATGGCCACCGATTCCTCGACGAGTCGAGCTACCAAAACTGGAAGACCGCCTATCATGAGGCGAGCACCAGCATTGTTGATCGTCAGCAGAAGATTGAGGAGGTTGGTGAGCAGATTGAACAGGGGCTTGAGCTGACTGGCGCCACTGCTATCGAAGACAAATTGCAGAAAGGCGTCCCCGAAGCGATCGATAAGCTGCGTCGTGCTAATATCAAGATGTGGATGTTGACCGGTGACAAGCGGGAGACTGCCATCAATGTCGGCCACTCTTGTCGCTTGGTCAAAGACTACTCGACTTTGACTATCCTCGACGAGGAGAATGGCGATGTCGACCAAACTATCACCCGCCTTACTCAAGATCTCAATCGCGGCAAGGTCGCTCATTCTGTCGTTGTTGTCGATGGACAGACGCTGTCGACTATTGAGGCTGACGAAACTATGCGTGAGCGTTTCTTCGATCTTGCCATCAAGGTCGACTCGGTGATTTGCTGTCGCGCCAGCCCGAAGCAGAAGGCGTTCCTGGTCAAGTCGATTCGCCTGCAAGTCAAGGATTCCATCACTCTTGCGATCGGCGATGGTGCCAATGATATCGCTATGATCCAAGAGGCGCACGTCGGTATCGGCATCACTGGCAAGGAAGGTCTCCAGGCTGCGCGTATCTCGGACTACTCCATCGCGCAGTTCCGCTTCCTCCTGAAACTGCTTCTCGTTCATGGCCGCTGGAACTACATGCGTGCCTGCAAGTATACGCTCGGCACCTTTTGGAAGGAAATGCTCTTCTACCTGACGCAAGCCCTGTACCAGCGATGGAACGGATACACTGGAACCAGTCTTTACGAGTCGTGGAGTCTGAGTATGTTCAATACTCTCTTCACCTCTCTCTGTGTCATTTTCCTGGGAATCTTTACCAAAGACCTCGCGGCCTCGACCCTCCTCGCTGTTCCAGAGCTCTACACCAAGGGCCAGCAAAATGGCGGCTTTAACATCCGCCTCTGGCTAGGCTGGACGTTTATGGCTACCTGCGAAGCAATGATCATCTTCTTCTGCATGTATGGACTCTTCGGCATGATCCACATCAACCCCAGCGACATCGACACCTTCGCCCTGGGTCTGCTCACCTTCTCTGCTTGCGTCGTTGTCATCAACTTCAAGCTCCAACTCCTCGAAGTCCATAACAAGACCTACTTATCCATAATCATAATCGTTATTTCCGTCGGTGGCTGGTTCCTGTGGAATCTCATCCTGTCGGAACGCTACAAACTCGAATCTGGAAAGGGCGTCTACGATGTACCCGATAACTTCATCCACCACGTCGGACACAACCTCCTCTTCTGGACCGTCCTCCTGATCACCGTCGCCTCAGTCCTACTCTTCGAGTTAACCGTCTCCACCCTCCGCGCCTTCTTCTTCCCCACAGACGTCGACATCTTCCAGGAATACGAACAAGACCTCGACATCCGGAAACGCTTCGAAGAAGCCGCCGCCTCAGAACTCCAGCAAGGCTGGGATCGCGGAACAAAACGATCCTCCTTCGAAATCGCCCGCGAGAACGAAGAAATGGACGCGAGAGAACGACATGTTCAAGAACTACTCTCTCGTCCCCGCGTGATGACCGGCCCCTCTTCCTCGCCTGTACAAAAACCCGCTGCGCGGGAAATCGAGGTTGAGGGCGAAGGGGGTAGTTACTCCGATTTGTCCGAGTCTGGTGTTGACGGTGAGCGGGAACTTGATGCTGATCTTGAGCGCGCTCGTCAGGTTGCTGGGCAGGTTGTACAGGCTGTTCCTGCGCCACCGCCTGCTGTCACTACGAGTAGTGGCAATCCCGCTGTACCGTCCGCGCCGACGCCGGACACGGAGACGGAGACGGAGGGTTCCTGTGCGCCTCGACGCTCTGTTGAGATTCAAGAGCTCTTTAGTCAGGGCTTTGGAACTATTCGGAAGGGTCAGTTGAAGTGATGAAGTAAAGTGAATACCTCTTCCTCCCATTCTACTCCACTTCAATTCCGGCTCTACTTTCCCCTTTCCCCTTTCCCTTTCCTTTTTTCTTTTCCCCTTTCTCAAAGTTTATACTTTATTGAACCCGACTTGTGTATATCATGTATATGTGGGGGGTGGCTTGGTGAATTGTTTCAGTTTCCGTTTATGCTTTTCCTATACGTCTTTCTCAGCATCGGTCATTCCCTCATAGCGTTTGCTTCTTCCCCCTTTTGTTGATTTGGATAATATCTTCCCTTCGTCGTCTTTCCTTTCAGTCATCCTCATCGTCCTGGATTGGACGCAAAAGGCGTTGTTTGTTGAGATACCCCGACTTTTCTGTTTTAAGTCTGGTCCTTTTTCCTTCTTGGTTTGGTTTTTTTGTTCACAAACCGTACCTACTCTACCTAAATAGTACATACCATAGAGAGAATTGTTTTTATTGAGATTATTTGTGCTGTGTCTACTTAGTGTAGTAGGGATTAATAGTATGTTTTGATGTTACAAAGTGATGATAGCCTCGGTTCTCAGGCCTATAGATTCACCACTGCATTTTAGATCTTCAATAGTCTTAGTTTTTAACAAACTTGGAAGTATATTATATACATCCTGTTTCTGAATTGTTATTTACCTTTCGTAGCCTCAGCGGCTCTCATTCCCAACCGTTCGTTCTTAATCACGCTGCCTCACACAACTCGTAACTAGGTGTTGAGACATGGTGCCTCAGGCAGTAAAAATTGCCTTCCCGTTCATGTTGTTTCGCGCTCTCCTAGATATTCTACACATTCGCATGCATCCACTAGTACTTTCTTGGTTTTGACTCGGAGCTTCTGTCACCTTCGCTCAAGTCCGACGAGAGGTCTTCAAGTTTCGTTCGAGTTTCAAGTTCTGGTTCTTTTGGAAGATTTGAGCGAGATACTACTGGTAATGTATATATTTTGAGATAATCCGTGCATAGGTACGAGGGACATCTACTCTGTACCGACTCAGATTCGGAATAGCTACCCACCGTTGAAAAGCAAGATAACACGAACAAACCCCCCAAACAGACCTATCGGCAGGAAATTCCATCGCAATAAACCTCAGCAAATACGGTACGAACTAGAAATACCTAACTATCGAGTCGCCTGACGCGAAACGAAACGGACACTATTAGTAGCTTTTACATGCGGGCGTTACCCCGGGTCTTTGGGAGAAAATAGCAGCAGGGTATGAGTTCCAAATTCAACTTGAACTGTCAGACATGAATGGATCCCTGTCAAATTCTCAGGCTTGGAAACGGTCGACTTGCGCGGCCACTGCCAGTGCTTACCACTGTCTTGCATCCTGCAGGCACCATCACAGCCGTGGGCAATTCCTGCCGAGATCCGACCGAATTAGAACTAGGATCCACCCCCCTGGTCTCGGGCAAGGCGATGAAAGATTTTAAGTACCCAGGTGTATGATTTTGTTTATTGAGGAGTTCGCTTGATTTATTTGTTTTTGTGATGGGTGTTGGTTTGGTAGTAGTATGTTTCTAGTAGAGCTAGGGGAGTGGGTGGGGTTGGGTTAAAAGTTTGGTTCAGCTCGGCCCGGATCCAAACTACGCCAACCATCAACCATGGATAAGGTGGTATGTCATGTTGTACGAAAGAAGCAAATCTGCTTGACGGGTTGACAGGACTCGTTAAAAATATCCGAGTTGCAGTTCTGGGTTACGCAGGGAGATGGATGTGGCTCTACGGATGTATGCAGGAGCGTTTTGTGTTACACAGCAGTAGTGCTATGTGAGGAATCGGAGTGGAGAGAACCCGTTTATTCCAAAGTTGAATTTGACAACATGCTTAAAACTCGTTTGAAATACATTCGTGATTTCCAGTGATTGATGATGCCTCGATCTGGAAGAGTCCAATTAGTTAGTATTATGACCCAGCAGTACAATTCCGGACGGGATTCTTCTCACCATTATCATTTAAAGCAAGCCGATCACGATGTCACCGTAGATCTGGGCATCCAGCTCCAGGCGGACCTTCGCGTGCAGGTTCAGGTGAATCTTGATCCGCAAGCTACCATCCTTCTCGTCGCCGCCCTGGGTCTTTCCGGGGATCTGGAGACCTCCGGTAAGGTCCTCGGCGAGGTCGCCGGCCTGGCCGGTAGCGTCGCCCACGGGGTCTTGTTGGCCAGGCTTGCGGTTGCCAAGGTCAGGACGAGTGGTAGTGGCGGGGCTGGATGGAAGAGGAGGCAAGTTAGCTAGGTCTAGCTCGTCGTCTTCTGGCGTGTCACGCCTTGATCCCGGCGCTGGAGGCGGGCGTGGCTTGTTCTTGGGCTTTTTGCCTTTCGACATGGGGTAGATATGTGATGTGAAGGGTTATAGTAGGGATGGGAAGAAAGAAGATATAAAATGAATTGGGAATGAGTGGCAGTTCAAAGTGGGAATTTACCTGTCGGACATTGTGGATGTCTAATATGGGAGACTGGAAAAGGATGGGCGGGAGAAAGAAAAATATAGATCAAATAGAACTGTGGGAGGGCAGCTGGTCTACTCAACAGAAGCCAAGCTATGAGCTATTTCAAGTTTTTTCCCACCGGCACTTTGTCCAGCTTGTGTTCCAAGCTGAGCTTCACTCCCTCAGTGATCTGCGTACCGCTGGAGGGCTATCAAACTCTGTCTTGGGTCAATTCGGCTCTTCTTGTTGAGCTGCAGAGAAGGTGATGCAATCGATGGGGGCAAAAGTGGATGCAGATCCACTCGAATCGAGTCCACTTCGTGCCATCTGCTTTCCTCCCCACTCTGAGGGCTGGAAACATTTTTCCTGTATTTATCTGTTTTCTGGTGCCGATGTCGAAACCGCACCATCATCACCACCTCTAGCCCTAAGACCGCAACCCCGCCGTGATTCCCATTTCTGTTGCGCCAAAAGTCCGCTCAAAATGGTGCTTGGGGTCGTCATGATGGCAACTATGTTGCCGACTATGATTGGCCTGAACGAGGCAACTCAGGGGAGCCGCGATCAGGAGGAGAACCGACGAACCACAGAGCGCAAACAGCGCGTTCATCTAGTGGCCACCTGTTCGTTAAGCCAGGGCACTCCCGAATTGCGGCAACAGATTCAGAATGCCAAAGTCTATGTGGGTCTGGACGGGAAGGTAAGTCTCCGACCTGCAGACGAGGCATCTGAGACGAAACTGACGATGTATTGTTTCTCAAAAACAACAGTTTTATATGACCAAACACCCAAGTTCATCTATGGTCCCCTTTAATGGAGGATTCTATCAACATCCCGACTTTCCTCCCAACAATACCTCTGGCATGGTGACCATCAGCGGAGAGGAAACCCCCACACTCCGATGGGTATTCCTCGACGCCCAAACGCACGAGATGCGTTGGGGCGGCCGCCCCGACAGTCAGGATCACGTATGTGGGCCGTACAGCTGGACTAAAGATGAGCAATTTGTGACACTAGAAGGGTGGGAAGGGTGGTTGGCAGTACGATTGTCGGAAGATGAGGCCCGGGATCGGTCGGATCAGGAGCTGGGGATCGTCGATGGCCAAGAGCTATGGAGGTTGTATTTCGATCAAAATGACGATGGAGCCGATCTACCGCCCGGTGCGCAAGGGCTGGAAATCCAACTGAAGCGAGTCATGGCAGAGCAATGAGCGTGGGGTGGTTGTATGTATTATTGCAGTGTTTTCTTTCCTATCCGGGCGTTTTTCTTCTTTTCTTCTTTTTTTCTTTATAATTTTTTTGTATGTTCACTACTATTTACTCCGTACATACAGTTCCTTATAACTTGACCTTAATCCCGCCGCACAAAGTGCTGACGGTGAGTGAGGATCGAGGAGAAGACATCCTCGAAAATGGGTTTGTTTACCACCCTTTTTTTTTCAATTTTTTTTTTCAATTTTTTGCATAGGATGAATTCTTTTTTGCATCGACCATGCTTCCGACTTTTAGGGGAAAAAACGAAGGATTTTCCCCATCTGTCCCGTTGGTGTTTTTTGTCGGCGCTTGCACATGCGTCCTGCAGTATAAACTCTTCGATATGCATACACTACACACCAAACCATAAACATTCAATCGCCGGGAACTTGCCACCTAGACACGGCAGTTTGGTGAGCACTTGTGTTCGATTCAAAGCTATGGTGTTGATTATACTCCGTACGGAGGAATAAAGCTGGGAAGGATTCGCGATCGCACTAGCTACTAGCTTGGCCAAGTTGCCAGGACGAACAGTGGATCGGCACAAAAACCCTGATTGATACGTAGGGTAAATGTCCCGAGATCTGAGGTTTGACAGCCGGGAACAAATGGGTTATGTATGTATGGCGGGGACGCGCTAGTATCTTTAGATGAGGGGTTTCCTTACCGAAGAATGAGTATTGGTCCATTTTCATGCAACCAACCCCCAAGGCCGGCGCAATCGGTGGAGCCCGCGCGGGTCTCGCCTCAGCCTCCCATTGACTCGGGCTCTAGTGTCAGTCTAAGTCAGTCTCTGATTGAGCATCGAGCCGATGCGGATCGCTTCTTCAGCTCCAGCAGAACCACGACTTTCCCCGTCTCCACCTTATTCTGCGACTTCCCTCCATCGATCCTCCACACGCCCCATTATGCTAATGCACCTTGACGAAATCATCCGACCGCACGAACACAGGCCCGGCCACGCCCTTTTTTTGTCACGGATTTCACCGATTGAAACAAAGCTATTTGGAATTTATTTGACTAGCATAATGGAGTCTGATATTTGAACAATACTTCGAAGCTGACGACTTGAATTCCTTGCCCTAACCGCCGTGATGATCTATCAATAGCTCCGCCCCAGCCGGGGCTCCCGCTGCCGCATGACAGGCACTCCTCGTGTCCGGAGAAAAGTTAGAAAGAAAATAATGATCTGTCTCTCGGGTACTCGGGGAGCACGTTCACCCTGTCACAGTGGATCCTATTCATTATGAATCCTGCATGGTTCGCGATCTAGCACCGATCGGCGACCCAGGAGAGGACCCA